GATTTTGAGAAATAAATAGTGTAGAGTGCCCGATGCCGTTTGAAGTTGGGGAAAAGCGGTGGACAGAAAGAGTGACTATGTCCTACCTAGAAAGAAAAAGCCCAAACAAACAACACAGTCTTTGGTACGAGCCATAAACAACCAAAAACCAAAAGGAACACTAACGAATGGAACAATACCCACCCCCACTCCCCCCAAAAACCCCCCAAGTGTCACAATTTTCACTTGCTGAAGGCCTCCGTACTAAGTGAAGGCTTTTTGACGAACAACAGAGTGAGCCCCAAGCTTATCAAACTGATGTACTTCGAGACAAGCATCCCGGCACATCAATGCAGATCTTTGACCACGCGCGCGAACCTCTTCCTCATACTCGTGAACGATGCGCTCTCTATCTGCCTCATTCGAAAGGATAGCATCGATTGCACTAAGGAGATTGTTAACATCCATCAGGGCGTGGTTGAAACCCTCTCCGCGATCTGCACATGTTAGCATATCCCGGAGAAACCAGCAAAACAAATAGGTGATACGAACATAGAGGCATGGTATGCGCTGCATCGCCTGCCAACGTGACTCGCCCCTTGGATTTGCCGAGCGACTCTACACGTGGCAGCCACCAAAACTCCAACGGAACGTTAATGACTGGTCCGTGACTATCAGACAGAATCTCATGGAAGATTTTCTTGAACGTGGGATGGAAATCCGTCGATTTCTGCCTCATCAAGTCAATGCGCCCGCCATCTGTCTTAGGAATATCCGCGTGTCCGGTAGGGGAAAGCCACGAGAGACATATTTGAACACGCCATACAGGGTCCACCATATCGGAAACATTAGGGTTCGGGCGTTCCATGACGGAGAACCACATCCATGCAGGGCTTGACGGATGACATCCTTGGAAGAGGGTTTTGTCCAGCGCAAGGAGCGGTTTCATCTGAGACTCATTGGCCAGTGCCTCGGTACCAAGAAAGCATGCCGGGATAGGCGTAGGTTGAGAAAGCGGCGCCCCGTACTGGAGTGAGCGCACGGTCGAATGACAGCCGTCGACTCCCACGAGAAGATCTCCACTATAACAACTTCCATCATTGAATTGTACCTTAACGCCATTCTGCTCAACCTCGAACGACGATAGCTTCTTGCCCCATATGATTCGTTCCTCAATTCCTTCCATGAGCATGTCACGGAGTCGTCCTCGAACAACTCGCATGCGATCGCCGTACGTCGGGGGTATAGACCACTTGGGAGTGCAAGTCTCGAGATTCATGAATGTTGAATGACTCTGGTCGTGTCCCGCTGTTTGATCTATCCGGGTTGTGTGTAGGCGATTCGCAAGTTCGCTAGGAAGGAAGTCCCGCAATAGTGGCAGACTGAAGTGGATAGTGAGAGCCCATCCTTGAGCGCGACTGGATGAGGATTCGTCTCTTTCGAAAACAAGAAACGAGATCCCTTTCTAACTGTTTCATTAGAAATCGTAGAGCAATATTGAAGTGTTAAAGGTATTACATGCCTTCTTCAGTCCCTGCGCAAGGGCAAGTCCAGCTATGCCGGCTCCAACGATGAGTACCCTTGGGTGGTCGTCCCTCATACCTGTGAATCCTAAAGACTAAGAAGCGGTGGAGCCTGCGAATCCTAAAGATCAAGAGGCGGTGGGAGAAGGAAAAAAAACAAATCAGTGATAGGAGAAATGATCACACCCAGTGTTCAGTGTCACGCGCAAAATCTTTGAGGGTCGAAAGAGAGAACCAAAATATCCTTGATACATGGATGCGGTGTCGGCTCGGCTGTTCAGTTAAAGAGGCCTCAGAAAGCGATGCGCATCGGTAGCGTCACTCCACTTCCAGCATCTTTCCGCACCATGTATGTCTCAAAACACCAGACTGCTTTGGCATGCTGCCTCTTGTTAGTTATCGAGTCTTTAGCACAAGCTCTATTCAAGGCGCCTTTTCTGCGTATCGTAGAACTGGACTTGTGTCGTTCCTATTACCTGCAGCTTTCTCCTGGATCCCTGCTCTCGGACGACTTGAGCGAAGAAGACTGCAAAGCGATCGCCATACAAAGAGACTTGGCTATGATAAATGCATACAACGTGGCCATGTCATCAATCATTGGTAACACTACGATTCATCATTCTTTCGTACTGATCACTCAAAGCGAGAACTGACAGAGATTAGAAATTATGACCGCATTCCCTTACGCGTCGCTTTGCGCAAGATTCAGCCGACGTCGCATCTTAGCAGCCAACATTGTTGGTACAGTCACCGCCTCCATGTACACCATATGCATCTGTAGGTCATCACGACAGTCACCGGTCTCCATCAATGATCGGATGGCGAGCTGACACATCCATGATGCAGGCTACTATCACCAGATCTTCAACATTAGGCTCATTCTGTGCCAGTCCCTGTGGCGTCTCTTTGGTGGTGGGGACAGTGTTCTGTTGAGCATTGCTAATGCCTTGATCGCTGAGAGCCTACCCGCAACACACCTGTATCACGCCCACAACGGATCATACAACGCAGTTTTTGCTAACGAACACATGCAGGAGCAAAGTGCTTTTTCTACTCAATGCCTCACGTCTCATCGTCAATGCCATCGGTCAAATGGTCGGGGCACGCCTCATGCAGGAATATCTATGGGCACCTGCACTGACCGGCGTAACGATGTATTGCCTGGCCATCCCTGTGCTTTGTTGGATTGCCGACCCCCAAGACCACACGCGGCGGCTCAAGTTGTCAGATGACGCTTCTGACGAGACCACCGATCTTCTACTCGCAGGCGTCAGCGCTAGGACGAAAGAGCGCAATGGGTCGCCTATGCGGCTAAGGATGTGGACACCAATGACTAGGGCCGTCTGGCGAACCTCAGAACTGTTTCGCGAACCCGCGACGGCCATGACACTGGCCATTGTTTTTCTAAATGAGCTGGGACACGGCGTGAATAGCATTGTGCAACAGTGGAGCAGCCGTAGCTTTGGATGGACGCTCGCACATACAAATTACTTTGTGGCTGGTCAGCGTTTGGTGGCAGCTGCGACGCTGGTTGGATTCTCATGGGCGTTTCACGGGCTGCAAAAAGCAGGTATCGCCAGCGCGAGGCTCGAGATCGGTCTGGTCAATGTTTGTCAATGGCTCACGTTGGTGGGAATGTTGACCGCTGCCATGTCATGCCTGAGCGGAGTGGAGGGAACGCGAGTGGTGGTCTTCGTATGCGCTGTACTCATCTACATGATGGGGTGGGGCATGACCGGCGCATTGCAGTCAAGCATGACTAGGTCAATTCCAAGGGCGCAGGTTACGATGCTCTACACGGGACTCAACGTGGCAGATCGGATGGCTGGTATTGTAAGTGGCCCCATGTTCGCGGGGCTAATGACGGCCGGCTTTCAGGAGGGGGGCAGATGGATTTACCTTCCGTTCTGGGTATCTGTGGGACTCTTTGTCGTGGTAGCAGTGTTGACAAGGCACGTGACAAGCTGGTTGAGTAAGGGGATTAGAAATGCAGATGAACAGACTCGGGTAGCTGAATGAAGGATAGACAGCAATGGAGGCTTACGCTGGGGCTTCGTATGAAGCAAGGTATGGAGGGGTAAGGGGATCGGGTAACTAGCTGCTTCATAGCATGGGCGGCACGGCACGGCACGGACAGGTGGAGATAGCGAAAACGATTTTTTTTTCTTTTACGTTTTACCGTTGATTCGCAATCTTCTCTGGTGTTCATCGAGTGGTCATCCTCTCATGCGCAGCGACTCACAGGCGACGAGCCACTCACACCTCTCGCAACACAAACGAAACAAACGATATCATGGCTTTTGCAAATCATGAGGAAGACACAGTAAAGATGATCAGACTGATAGCTAGCTAAGCAGAAAACAAAGCAGGACTAACATAAGTGGCAATATCGAAAGAATCTCCTTGGTGAGCCACGCCGATCTCTCTGATAAAAGTCGTGTTGTCAGACATGTGACCAGTCTCGACTTGGCTGCGAAGGAGGGCAGTAGGCTGTGCAAAATCGGCCAAGACATGTTTGACGATAGCGCCATCGCGGCAGGGCATTTGGTGGGCGAACCAGTAGAGCTTGCTCCTAAGTTGCGATGGCAGAATGTCATACACGACCATGCAGTAGCGCGATTGCGGATGCGGGTCTAGCCGGTACTTGGTCTGTATGTGTGCCCACAGGGTGGCGTAATGGCTACGCGGCGGCAGCGGCACGGCCCCATCCATAGTGAGGTGGGGCTCTATAGCCGCAAAAGAAGTATGCGAATCAAAATAACAGCGGCTGTATAGCTTAATGCGGGGAGCTGGGTAGCGTGTCGCGTCGATGCAGAGCATGCGAGGCCGCAGCACGCTGGAGGCTTGCGAAGCCAGGTAGTGGCGCACCTGACGCCAGTGGGCGTGGATGTCTGTTGGCAATAGGGTGAAGACGTCGTCCAGGAGGTCTAGTAGGCCTTGGGAGGAGAGACAGGCAGGCAGCAGCCAGTATAACTTGCCGCGCGCGCCGGAACGAGTCAAGTCAAAGCCGACAAAGGTGGATGAAGGGCTGCATAGCTCGCACGAGGAGGTTGTGGACGGTGCTAGGTCGGCAGATGGCAGTGGGTGAACGGTGTGCTCCCAGTAGGCGAGGCGCGCCGTCACAGCCACCCACACATCTGGCAGCATTTCGACGTGATAATTTTCGGCCAACGCAATCCGACGCAGCCCATTGATCGTTTCCAGTGCAGCAGCAAGGGACGCCGAACGAGTCGGGGTCCCATTTATCGGAATCAAGTCGACCACATAGCGGACTGCGACCGACGTCCTGCCGTTCCAGCTGTAGCTTAATTCCAATGGTGTAGCGTCGCACGTCAGCGCCGATGGATATGCGGGACGCAGCGGCAACGACGACGGCTCTCGACCTAGCCAGCCGCAGACATGGTTCCTGAAGAATGTCTCGTGGGCTTCGATGTTGTCTTGAGCGTACGATCCGCTCGTTCGCAGAGCGTGTATCAGATGCGGGCTAAGAAGGGAAGCCCATGTGAGCCGCGCCTTCTCAGACTCACCATCACCATAACGCGCGTCGCAATCGGGCATCGTCTGATCTCGTCACTGCTCGAGAGACACATGCAAGATGAGGGAGGAAGAAGAAGAAAAAAAAGGGAAAAAAAAGAAGGTGTTACGACGGCGGTATGAACGGGCGGCTGCACCACAGCAAAATCTCAGGGCTGTCTGAACCAAAGACGCTGGCTCTTCTTCGTTATGGGATGGACTAGGAGACATAACCATGTTGAGAGACGCGCCATGGCAAATTTATATCTCAGCCGAACCGAGCCGTCTACACTTCCTGCAGCGCAACCACCTTGAACCGCATATTCGATCCAGCGCAAGATGATCGCAACCCTTGCCATGTCCAACTGCATGATCCGTCTACTTCTTTCCAAGTCACGCTACTGTGTTGGCCAGTATATTCTAAGCATGTCGCGTCCTGTGATCTACTGCTGCTCTGCGACAATGGGCGGAGATAGTGGTACAATTCATTGTGGCATGGGGACGCACAAGACCTGGATGATAGCAAACGGCCATTAGGGAAAATTGATTCCTTCAATCGAGAGCAAATTATCCAGTAGCTTAAGACTTTTGAGATTAAACAGTAACGAGACCGTCTCACCACAATGCCAGGGGTCCATCTACCACACACATCTTCTGCATAGAAAGTGTATCGAACCTACTGGATATGTGTGACCCGTGTCTTCGATACCTGCACTGACCGCTCTTCCGGCTCCACATCTCAACGTGGGATGCTGATGTTTTTGGTATAGCAATCTTTTCATTGTGTAGCCGGTGTATAAAATTGGGGTCAGGGAAGCAACATGGTGTCCCACGACATCCAACACATCATGCCGGGTACACTGCTTCCTAGCCACTTTTCCTTACACTTCAGCATTAGGCCGAATGTGATTGCTTTCCCAAAATACCAAACGACCACATCGGACCACGAGAAAGCACGTTCATCTATCTGCCTCGATGCCAACGAGAATTCCGCTGGTTCGTGTCTGGTACCCGTGCCAAGGTATGAGCCTTGCATCCTGAGTGCGCCCAACCATGGTACACCCCAGGAACCCATCGGTCTAAAGAATCTGCATCGATATCCGTCGGCATCTCAGGCCTCCCTGCGTCGGCAGGTCGCGCAGTGGCGAGGCTTAGAATGTAGGCTCTGCTTTCTTTTCCTTTTTCTAATTATCGGTCACACAGAGTTCACTAGCTTACCATTCACCGTTAGCCCCGGACCAAGTTGGTCTTGGATCTGGTGCTTCAGACGTCATCGATGTCATTATACGAATGACATGCACCCCTGGTCAAGACAAGATCCTGCTCTCACCTCCCACGTTTGATCTGTACAAGGTTTGCGCAACCCTTCAAGGTGTCGAAGTGGAGGAGTGCATGCAGGATATAGCTCAAGATGGGACGTTTCGCATCCCAGTGGAGCAGGTTTGTCAAACATCACGGTAAACCACATGATCTGCAGGACTGACCGTCTCTATTACAGATCTGCACCGCACTGTCGGAGGACGACCGTATCAAGGTTCTGTTGCTAGCATCACCCGGAAATCCCACAGGCACGTTGATTCCAGTGGATCAGATACAGCGCATACTAGACCTCGAAGGTTAGTTGAAAGCAGCTCCTAGTTCCCACCTTGACACGCGCTGAAACGATATGATGATTAGCTTTCAAAGGCATCGTCGTAATTGACGAAGCCTACATAGATTTTGCACCAATCGCAGAGAAGGCCTCGGCTGTTCAGCTCTTGCCAAGGTACAACAATCTAATCGTTGTGCAATCTTTGAGCAAATCTCATGGACTCGCTGGAATTAGGTAGGTCAAAAGTCTGATTATTGCCAATCTCCATTTACCACCTTGATACAGTTCTAAGAGTTATTCAGGGTCGGTATGGCCATTGCGCATCCGGCCATCATAGAGCTTTTCTCAAAGGTGCAAATGCCATACAAGCTGTCAAGTGTAGTCTTGGATCTTGCCGAACGAGCGCTCTCAAAAGAGGGACAGGCTTGTGCGATCGCACTGCAGCAGCAGGTCATGACTCAACGAGAATGTCTGGTTAAAATGCTCGCGGATCCTTTACTTGCCTCCAATGGCATTGGCGCTACAATTGGAGGCCAAGCTGCAAACTTTGTGCTGATTCCAATTCTTGTTGGGGAAGAACGAGACGATATACGAGCTAAGCAGCTGACGCAGCAACTCCGAGATCGGCACGGTATTTCAATCCGATATGTTGGGGCGCAAGCTGGTTGTAGAGGCTGTGTGAGGATTACGGTGGGTACGAAGGATGAGATGGATGCGCTGCGAAAAGCCCTTCACACCTTGCTTTTGGAATAAATTAATAAAACTTTGGAAATCTTGGCTGATGGTTGCATGTATGTGCTTGGGCTAAGTGGTCTCTACAAGAAACTTGTATAATTCGCAATTTGCGCTTATTCTTTTCGAGACTAGGGTTAGTAGTTATGGTGTGGACCCTGCGCTAAGCCACAAAGCCCATTTCCCCATAATAGCTAGCTGCCGCTGAACCCAAAGTTAACTCAAGTACCTGGTTCTCCCACATATACGCTAACCATTTTGGTCGTCGAGATCCCTTGTACGATATCCGTTGTCTTGGATTTGTACCATATCGACAATGCTGACCTACATGATATCTACATGATCATGTTATTTCCGAATTTGTTTCAGCGCATCACAAACAGGCAACGTGGTTTTCCAGCATGCCTGTCAAGATGCATCTTTGTCTGCAATCATCAAGGAACTTTCCAGGGCAAGGATTATCAAACAATCATGATAAAGACAGGCCTCAATGGTTATCGGTGCTCATTGAAAGAAGCAATGTTGCAGTAGAAGGTATCATGTCGGCGCAACATGCTAGTGGTGGCACACGACAATGCAGGCTCGATGTGGATATAGCACACTACAACCAGAGTCGTTTTGGCAGTAAAACGTGTATTATTATTTTGATTTTGACGTGGCTGTTCGTATTGAGTTACTCTGCGCGAGGATCTATCAATCCACTCCTATTATAAAACACTAACTGCACTCACCGTATCACGCGACTCGTAAGCAAGAGGCGCGCTGTCTAAACCTTCAAGAGATATATTGCATACAATCCCCCATTTCAACACATCATTCGACCTCCGGAGTTGCGACGAAGAGCTAACGCAATGCAACACTTTCGAGCAACATCACTCTTTCAACCTTCCAACTTGGCACATGCCATCCGGAAGACCATGGACCCCTTCAAAGCACCCTCTTATCTCTTTGGATCAATTATGGCTTTCCCGCATACCATGGTCGCCCGAACTATCGCTGTCTTGGGGATGGATTTTGTCATGGTCGACGCATTGCATACGTAAGTAAATAACACCAGGCAACGCTCGCTCATGTCTAACCCAAAATCAAGTCCTATCGATAGCGAGAACTTAGTCCGCATCATACAGACCATCAACTTCTGTAGCGAAGGCAGGACAGTCGCCGTTGTGCGGGTCCCGTCTGCACACTCGGATCTGCTAACGCACGCCCTTGACGCAGGTATGTATACATATGCCGTCTCGGCTGCATATCCGCCATGGGACATGCGTATACGCAGACCGACTTTCCAATCCCACATCGGTATTCTATAGTAGAAGCTAATCATCGGATCGTCGTCTCCGTTGTAGGTGCAGCAGGAATCATCTTCCCACATATTGACACCGCCGAGCAAGCCGCCGAAGCTGTTTCCAAGTGTCGATACGCGACCTCTGGTGGAGACAGGTCTCTATCGCCATGCGCATTAGTCTCTGGAATTACGGATACAGCTCCACAAGGGCTGACACATGATAGAGTGGCTGATAGTCACATAGCTGTCATATGCCAGATCGAGAGCCAGGTGCGTGATCATTGTGAGAAGCTACAGCCATGCTGCTTACTGATTTGGAATAGCTCGCAATGGAGAATGCAGACGCTATCGCAGCCACACATGGCGTAGATTGCCTCATGCTAGGCCCGGGAGACCTTCGCCTCTCGCTAGGTCTTCCTGCTCGGAAGTTCGGTCAACGCGACGACCCGAGGTTCCTTGAAGCCGTCAATCGACTTGTTGATGTGAAACATCGACACGGAAAGCCTTTGATGACCGTATCCTTCAAGATTTCCGCAGAAGAGGATTCGTGGATACAGCATTTCAACCTGTTACTAGCCACTGCAGATTTTGTAGACGTGGTCAAAGGTCATCAAACTGCTTTGGAGACGATCAAAGGTACCCTTGCGGGTATAAATGAGAGGCTGCCGCCACCAATGGATGTTGATGAGAAGATCAAGGGACGTCGCGATAGTCACGAGGAATGAGTTCGATGTAGTCATTTGTACTCCGAGTTCAAAATCTTAATCCGTCCTCCAGTCGCAAGTGTCTGGGAGTCTATCTACTAATGCATCTACAAACCTTGCCACCAAAACGTTTCTTCGAGGGAATACACTTCTCGTAGAAACGTTCCTCTGCTGCTTGTTCCCACGAGAACATTGTAGTTTCCTTTCTCACATACCCAGCGACCTTCTGCTTCGTCCCAGAATCCCAACGCATATTTCAACTCCATGTTTATTGCAAGGGTGGTAGTGGAGGAAAGCTTGAGAACGTGTGTTTTTTCGAACCCTTTCAGCTCTTTCACCGGGCGGCCAACACTGGATTTCTGCGGCTCGACATATACTTGCACCACTTCTGCGCCGTCAAAGTTGCCAACGTTTTCAATCTGGACTCGCGCTGTGATTATTGCTTTCTCCTGTGAGCCATGTACTTCAAGTCGAAGTTTCGAGAGGCGGAACTCGGTGTAGGATAACCCATGACCGAATGGAAAGAGTACGGGTTTTTCCAGGGTGTCGTAGTATCGATAGCCTACGTAAACGTCCTCCGCATATAGTATACGTTTTCTCTCCGCTTGGCTGCACAGATACGTCGGATTATCGCGCAAACAGACAGGAAAAGATAGTGGTAGTTTTCCTGATGGATTAGCATCGCCGTACAAAACATCACTGATCGCTGTTCCCGTCTCGTTGCCTCCATACCATACATGCAGTAGAGCCTTAGTGCGACTAGCCCATGGCATCGTCACAGGGCTTCCTGAACTAATGCAGACGACTGCATTAGGGTTCGCATCGAGCACACTAGTGATGAGATCGTCGGTGTGCTGTGGAAGTTCGATGTCAGGTCTATCTGCGCCCTCATTCTCCCAGTCCCCCATTAGACCTGCAAGAATAACGACTTGATCGACCTGTGACGCTAGCTCAGCAGCTGCGCGAATGGAGGCAGCAACGTCCATTTGATAACATCCGCCAAGACGTAAACCGCCGGGATGAAATGTCAATGGAGAGTTCTTGATGAGTTCCGAAGTGTGTGCTCCGGCCCAGTGGACTAGCACGTGATATGACTCTCCTTTGGTCAGGTGAACAGTGCCTATCTTCTCCACCGTGCCCGCTCGGAAGAAGCCTTCGCCGAATTGCTGGTCTTTTGTGTTGTCTACCACGAGCTTTCCGTCTAGATACAAGTTTGCGGTGCCTTGTACGCTAACGCCAAAGTCGTAGGGTCCCGTGTCAGTCGCTACAAGGCGACCCGAAATATCCACGTGCCAGTTTTCGCCATCAATACGATTCATGTTTTCATAGTTGAAGAAGTAACCGCAAGAGTTAAGGAACTCATAATGATCGACTGGAGTGCGGTCTGCAACGGTCGGCGGCTCGTTGTAGATGTACATGTCGAATCCAGGCTTGCCGTGACTTGTCAGGAGTTGGTGGCCCAGAAGAGGCCTTTCTTTATGATTGTAAATTCCTCGGGAAAACTGAACGCTTCCATTGCTTCTCTCACTAATAGCCTGCAGAGGGGTCACCGCGTAGTAAGGTCGAAGATGAGCGATACGCCCACCTCGGTATGCTGCAATGGCAGCATTCGGGCCTATCACAGCAATCGCCTTGTCGGGATTCAGGGGAAGTATGCTTTCGTCATTTTTCATGAGTACTATCGACTCAGTTGCGGCCCGACGAAGTAGTTTGCGATCTTTCTCACGATTCAAAGGCTTCTCCGGTGCCTGTTCCGGTATGTTGGAGCTAGCGGCTTCTTTGATCATGTTGAGAATGCGTCGCACGCAATTATCGAGATCATGAGCGCTTAGACGATTAGCCAACAGTGAGTGTAGCAGGTTCTTTCCCCTCCATTGGCTAGGTCCGGGCATCTCGAGATCCAGGCCTGCTTGGATAGGAGCTGTAGTTGCATACAAGCCGTGCCTACGCATTAGAAAGTTAGTTTTGCTCATCTTCCAAAGATCTTTCGAAAGACAATTTTTGATGGGTCTAGGCTCGAAATGAGGAACTGGGGTAGTTCACTAACCAATCGCTCATGACCAGGCCACGAAAGCCCCATTCTTTTCTCAAGATGTCATGTAAGATTCTCTTGTCTTCTGTGATGTGAAGTCCGTTGATCTTGTTGTACGCCGCCATGATTGCGCCAGGATCACCAATCTTAATTGTCAACATAAAAGCCATGAGATATATCTCTCTTAACGCGCGCTCAGTGACCATGCAGTTCATGCTAAAACACCCCTGTTCTTGGTCGGAGCACAAAAAGTGTTTTGGTGTAGCCACTATCCCTTTTTCTTGGATTCCGATGCACATGTATCCTGCGAGGGTTCCCGCAAGGAGAGGATCCTCTCCAAGCGCTTCATGCCCTCGTCCTGCAAGTGGAGACCGCGGAATATTCACGCAAGGTGCTAAGAGCACATGCGTTCCTTTTGCGATACATTCATCGGCTAACAATCCTCCTACCTCACGAAGTAGTTCTCTGTTCCATGAGGCTGCCAATGCTGGCCCAGTTGGCAGACATATTGTTGGTGTTGAGTTGAAGAAACGTGTACCGCGCACTGTGTTCGGGCCGTCACTTGTTCTTAGGGAAGGAATCCCTAGACGTGGGATAGGTACGGTGTGTGCGAAATCAAGTCCTGCAGCCTGGTAAGTTTGACATGAAGGGACTAGTAGAAGCGAAGATAACTCACCAGCTGTTATATCGCATTTCTCGGCGACAGAGAGTCGAGAAAGGATCTCTTCCACGTCAATATCAGCCATTGAATTGGTTGTTTCAGCACGATGAGAGAATGATGGTGATACTTCTTCGTGTTCAAAGCCATGCACACTCTATAATGTAAGTAGTAGACTCATGCAAGCGAGGTTTAGTAGGCTTCTGCGCTAGGTTTCTAATCAATGAGGTAATCTTTCTACTGGGATCTCTATAGCGCGATCTTCTGCATCGATTCTGCCAAGCTCTAAACCTAGTCTGTTTTAATCACATAAATCATGCATGTAGTCACATTGCATGCTATCTAAGCGACCCCCCTACCCTGCCCATGGCTTGTTCTACCCATATACTAAGTGCTTATTCGCCGAGGCCGCGGTCACGAAGAATTTTGAAGTTGGCACATAGTTCTCTTGCCACTCCACCACAAATTCTAGCCCTGTTTCTTTCGTCCACCGCTGCACCAATGGCTGAGCGGTAACAGGAAGTGCTATCTTCAAAGACGCTTGATACCACCAAGGAAATATACCAAATGCAAGCATAACTCGGGGCACATTCGTCCGATTCGGCATTCCTGCGTGCCACAACCTTAGGTCTCGAAGTACTAGATCTCCTGCTTTTACCGAGATCTGCACAGGCGGAAGTATCTCACGCCGTTTGCTGACAAGTTCTGGCTTGATCGTTGATAGGCCCCCTTGCGACTCGCGCGACTCAACGTGATCAGCCATGCTGGTGTCTCTGTGGCTCCCAATCCATACTTCTGTGCCGCCGTTTAGAGGACCTGTGTCGACAAGATAGTAATTTGCTACCAATGCAAATGGAAACCGGAGGTGTTCATGGTCTAAATCTGCATGAACAGTTTGCCGTTCAGTTGAAGAAAGTGCTGTGTTTCCATTCGCGTAAACTACTCGCGGACTCGGTCCCAGAATTGCGGCGCTGATGCTGGCTGCGAAAGGGTTCGCCCAAATAGACTGGAACATAAGGTCCGGAGAAGCCGGCGGCCTTTGTGAGATGTTACGGGTAGGTTTTCCTTGATTGAAATGGGTCGATGGTTCGTTGGCCAGTTGTTCAGATCTCTCGGCCATGATGGAGTTTAACTTTGCTACGGCAGACTTGTCCACAACGTCTTCCAACACCACGATGCCGTCCCTTTGGAGAATCGATACTGCAGCGCCGACAGTTTCTGCACTTGGGACTTGGCATGCTCGTTCCCGATCTGGTACGATGATACGCTGAATTTGATTGGTACTCATGGTGGTGACCCGTCTGGGAGGTTTATCGAAGGAAAGCCTGCCTTCTTTATCCCGGTACTATCGTGACAGTTTAATTAGGAAGTGCGAAAAAGGGTTGGGTAGGTGAAAGATCCTTTACGGCATAGACTGCTTTTCGCGGAGAAGGACGCATATAACTATGGACTACCTTGAGCGTGCTAAGAAGACTGCTTTGTTGAATCTAAAACTCACTATCTGGTCCTGAGGGTGCATGAAAAGTTTTAGAAAGTGGGCGAGATTGTCACAGCGCATGTTTGATTATGATGACACCCCATCGTACTACTTTGATACCCCAGTGTAGGATAGCGCGCCGGGGAAAGCGAGATCGTCACCACAATGCTTTAGTGCAGCACCAAATGCAGATTCCGCCTTCACCCATTCTTTTTCTGCGCCTCTTTCGTCCAGCAGCCAGCGGCAGCTTGCAATCAATTCTCCACCTATCTCACTCAGGGATGAGTCGCGGACTTGCGTACCGAAGAACCCATACGTCAGTCCGTTGGCCAGCGACTGCCGCGACACCATTTGAGAGGCTGGCCGCCGGATGGCGTCGTAAACCTTTAGCGCATGCGGCAAGGCGGACACCGTCGTCCTCGGATCTTCCAGCAATCGAGCTAGGATATATGCATCCTCGATGCCTTGGCCCCCACCAAGACCTTGGTGTGGTGTCATGGCATGCGCAGCGTCACCGATCAGACAAACTCTCTCCATCGCGAATGCTGGGAGTGGGGCTACGACGTGGACTGCCCATCGCGATGCAACCTTTGGAATGTGCAGCAAATCGGTGAGGTCTCGCTCCCACCCGGCATAACGCTCAGCGATCTGCGACGCCGGGATCTCGGCAACCCACGGGCCGTCGAACAGGGGTGGGACACCATCGGCAGCGAATACGTTGTCGTAAGCCGTTAGTTGGATCTCGTCCCTGACAATGTTCGAGGTAACATGTCGTCCTGCTCCACACCACTGCAGGCGTGACATGCGTCGTTAGTTCCAGACACTGTCACAATTGGGATGGCGCCTTACAATTCTGAAGCCGCGTAATGCTATGCTGTTGGGACACCTCTTCTCGACCTCGGCTCGTGAACAACTCATCCTGTATGCAAACTGACCGCTGAATTGAGGTGCAGATAGGATGTGGTCCCCCAAAAACATGTGCTGTCGTACCCGTGAATGGACTCCATCGGCTCCGATAAGCACATCGGTTTCGAACTGAGTGTTATCTTCGAAGGACAGGGTGACCTTTCCCGACTTGTTTTGGATGTAGGATCTCAATTTTTTGTTCGTTTTGATTTGGCATCGTCCAGCGTCAACATGGGTGTGGAGGATATCAAGGAGGCCATCTCGAGGGATAACTCGGGGTCCATGTGGCACTTGACAGAAATCTTCTCCCCTTGGATATCTATCGGATTTTCGGAGGACCGGACCACTGACTAGAAAGAGATTAGTTTTCAATAGATGTCGAGCGATTGTAAATTCCAAATTCTCTAATGCGTTTGCTGCAAGACTTGCCTTCTGACCATGGAAGACATTTAAGCCCTCTAGAGGTGCACTCTGCATCAAAATTCGTGTATTCTCCAAGCATGTCCCAGAATCTTTTCCACACTGCGACCCCTGCGCCAATGGCACGGATCTCAGATTTGCTCTCGAACAAATAGACGTCGATATTTGGGCATTTTGCTAGGAACGCGGCAGCAGTCATCCCCGCTATGCCACCCCCACTAAGATATATCTGTGAGCATCGGGTGCTAGGAGTCGTCCATTGATGAGCTTACCAGATAGCAACCTGTAAAGAAGGCCTAGTTTCAGGCACTACCATCATGAACCAACAGCGGAGAAAGGCTGGGCGATTTGGTGCGAGAATGAAAGACTACAACATGACATTGAATCATATCTATAGACATACTTATCAACGAGCGGTGTCCAATTCGGGCATAGTGGAAAACGCGTTAGCAGTGCATACGTAATATTCATCAACACTGGCTAGCTGTAGCATATTGGTGGAAACTGAACTATCCAGCATCACCACGCGTGAACTTCATTGCCACATCTTTATCAAACTCCATCTACTCATCCATATATCAGAAAGTAGAAGAGATTTGCACTGGCTGTGTAAGTTGAGTCAGCTACATGGCTCAATCTCATATCGTACTTTCGTGCAAGGCGAACTGGAGTAAGTGCAGACGTGCGAATTGCGAATTGTACTGATCTTATGAACCACTTAGGCCACCTCCGCTCCATGTGCATACTCTCTGCTCGAATAGCGCATTCTAGAGCCATTCATATTACGATCCTAGTGTCCAGCTCGGGTAATGTTGTGCAAAGAGTGGCCCAAGAGGTTTCCAGGTGCGCAGGTGTTGAAGGAGTGAATGTTTCCAGCAAAGTCAGGTATGTCGCGTCACGGCGCAGCAACGCCTATTACGTATCGTCTTCATTCACGTCCTGTACTCATCTTAGCTCAGAGTCCTTGGTTTGTCGACCGACACCGCAGATAATGGAGATACAGACCGCTCCTTCAAGCTTGTCTGGACAGCTCTTATGAAAAGTGAAGTCACCACGTGTAGCTATACATTGGAACATGTTGAGGCAGTCGTACCACCGTCAGCTGTAATACTTGATGTAGGTTTACACACAGTTTCAAAGTTTTTATATTCCACTGAATGTCCTGAATAAAGGGATTCCAACTATCATGGCTCGAAATCATCCGATCCGAACCTTCACCTCCACCCATTTTCCAATGGATGATGGCATTTTCAGGAGGCTTCATGTACATGTGTGGCCCAACGGAATCCCAGACCAAAAATGCAGAGTTCATGAAGCAAAACACGCATGACTGCGACAAGGACGTACTCATCCCAGGCATGCTTCCAATGACATGCCACGATCTGAATCCCCAAGACGTTGGTGACAAAGCAATCAAGATCCAGATTGCTAAAACCACCATGACACAGTACGTACCACGGGTAATAGAATTTGTACGCCGTTCGCTAACAGACCAGGTTTGCACAGAGAGCCGACGGCCTTTTGACAGCCTGTGCTCCGGAATATGACAGTGTAGAATGTCTCGGCGCCATCTCGGATTGGATTGCATGTGAACGAGGTCGGCAAACGTTCCATCTTGGTCCCATGTTACCACTTACTCCGGGCACTACTACCTTCTCCGCCAAAGCTATTGAAGTTGAAATCAATACATGTCCGGATGGCTCTGGTATCGTCGTCACACGTTTCTTGGATCGCTGTATGCTATCTCATGGAAGGCATAGTGTCTTCTACATCAGCTTTGGCACAGAGCACTGGTACGTCTACTTTTGACCAGCAACTTGAAAGTTGCAAGGCAAAATTGACCATGCCCCAGGCCATCCTCTCTTGATCACCTCGAAATCCTTCTAGACGCCATGGTGGCCCGTAAATATCCCTTTGTAAGTGTACCGATGCGATGGATATCTTGGGGATAACGTTTGTCTAAAACCCCATCTAGCTACTGGCACATGCACATGCGGATGCGCAAACCATCTCCAAGCTGAAAGACAGATACCTTGCTAATGACGAAGCACTCATTCTGCCATTTGTGCCGCAACAAACCGTGCTATCCCACGAGGTATGTCTACAGATACGATTCGTGTCATGCGCTACCTGAATGAAAACTCTACTAAGCTTTCAGGCGTGCGGATGGTTCATAACGCACGGAGGAGCAAATGGCGTCATGGAAGCGCTTACCCAAGGGGTCCCAATGTGTGTATAGCAAGACCCCATCGACCCGTCCCGCATATTCACCTGTCTCAGGATCGGTTGGCCCTTTGCCATTGACCAGCCTCTCAATATTGCCCACATGGCACATACTATGGACGCTGGCTTTGAATTCACACAGATGCGAGCGAACTACTGTCCCGTCAAGGCAGCCAGAACCCAGGATGTTCTACCTGACATGGATGCTTGGGAAAAGGAAGTTGGAGACGTTTTGGCAGCAGCTTTTACAGCTGTGGGCGAGAGGAAGCGGAGGAACGCTGAATTGATTGGAAATAATCTTGGAAAAGCGTGGGCAGAGGATAGTGGGAGAGCTAGGCTGCAGCTTTCTAGGTTTCTAGATACGATGGGCGTTTGATGTGCGAACACTTAAGGCGTATGTTATCATTGCATCCGCTTCTACAGCGACACATGTGGCAGAAAAGAAATGAGTAGTGTCTAAAAGGCTTCGATATTGTCACCATTTGAATGTAGGCATGGTTACAACACCAGCTTGGTTTTCTTTTTTGAGACAGGTCAATCCCGACAACTATACTTACTCTTCTAATACTCGTCGAAGAGCTGACATCAAATTGCATGACCACACAAGCACTGCCTCAAAGCTTGAACGTATTTCCCGTGGTCCACGGCAAATTCAAGCTCTTTATATCTATCACAATAATATTCTCCATTACACACCCATATGCCATCTTTCGCATCTACACCACCGTACCATCCCCGCCCCCTTCTTCCAACTCGATCTTCCTCTTCTTCTTCCCATGATGTCCTCGAGCCTCCACTCTGCCCTCCACCGGTAACACTCTTGTAGCAGTGAACAAGTATCCCTCCGCTCCACCCTTACTCGTCATCATAGGATGCGTCCTGCCTGGAAGAACCTGCCACTGTCTCGCACGTGCCGTCTGCAGCGAGGGCGCAAGCAGCAGGGTAGGATTAACCGGGAAGTCTTCTTCTTCTTCGTTATTGCCACCTTCCGGTGTACTAGCAGTTGTATCGACATGCTCTTCTCCCCTGCGATTCTTGTTTCCGTTGGTCTGTGTCGTAGTTGGCGGCGGTCCAAATTCGCGTGCTATGTACGCCGCCCTCCGTTCCTTGGAGTAGAGGTCGCAGAGTTCGACGAGGGGTTCGACGTTGTTGTTGTATACAACGACCCTGCCTCCTCCCCTAACCAAAGGGACAAGTTCCTTGAGTACAGTCTTTGCGTCCATGGCCGTAGCTACGACTAGCCCATCAAAGCCACCCCGTCTAGTCTCATCTACGACGCCCTTTACCCTCTCCCACCTCCTCCTCTTCTTGTAATACGTGCCCCGTTTCGTACTCTTCATGCCAGCCAACACCTCTTCAGACATTACCTCGGGCTCGTCGTATGTGGGGTCGTCTTCTGGGTGGAGGAGCGCGAGCCAGGATATGGACTTCAGGTGTTTGTAGAGTGGGTGCTCGGGGGTTGGGGCGCCGTAGTCGTAGCCAAAGTATTTGAGGTAGGAAAGGTTCGGTTGGTTGTTCGGGTGGAGAACGGTGAGAGTATTGGTTTGCGCGGACATTTGGGGGATGTGTGGGCGGGGGGGTTTTCGGGGGCGCGCAGGAGGATCTGAAGGGTCGGCGTCAGGCATGGCGGTATCTGTGTCCTTTGCTTCTGGGGCGTCGTTCGTCGCTGTCTCTGTCGCTGCCGTACCATTCATCTCGACATCTTCGGCCTCGTCTTCCGAGTCCTCGTCTTCTTCGGGGTAGAGGATGCCCATCTTCTCTGCGAGTGCTGCTGTAACGAGACCTCCTGTATCGTCTACTACGAGCCATCTCCCTCCTCCTATCTGGCTGACACCGTCTTCTCCTGTGAGAATCTGGTTGGTGGCTCCCGAGTGTACGTTCGCCCAGCTGTTGATCAAGCCCAGTAGATCTTCCCTCAGCTCCATAATCTTGTATGCCTCCTTCTCCAGCACATATTCTGTAAGCAGCCCGATATCCATGGGCAGCGCCGTAAAGCGCTTCATGTACTTCTTCGACTTCCTCAGTGTGTACTTGGCGAGCGAGAAGCTCGTCTTCTCGTCAATCGCATTGTGGGAGGCCATGATCTTGGCGATGATGTCCTTGCCGGAACCTGTGCCCGCTTTCTTCAGCTCCTCAATCTCAGCCATGGACAGCGCCTGACGCGACGCATCATCAACAGTCAGGCGGTTGTTCCGCATTATGACCTGCCCATCTTCCCCGACAATGTCGAAACCGGCAGCGCCCTCGGCATTCTCATCGCCAGTCTCGGCAGCTGGCGCATGGTCTTCGCCTAGAGCTTCAGCATGGAGTTCGGAGGCGGGTACGACGCGCAGCTCCGTCTTGGACTTGCCATCGTCCTTGTCGAGGAGTTCGTAGGTGAGGTAGTATGGCCGGCCGAGGAGCAGGTTCGAGTTGAAGGTGCCGAATTTCCCAAGATTGATGTTACTGGGAGGCGGTCAGAAGGAGCTGCAAGGTGGGCATACGAAGGAGTATGTAGGGGGCTCACGCCAGCTATGCGACGTACGTATTCGGTGTGATCTCGACTATCTTGAAAAGGCCGGAGGGCAGTCGCAAGGCGACGTGCGTGTTTGGGCGGACGCAGGAATGCATGGCGAACTTGATCGCGGCTGCCAAGTCTCACTATACCATGTGCGACAACGACTGTGTATGTCGTTATGGATCTCTTGACACTAGAGTCCCAAGGTTGCTGGGTTGGCGCAAATCGCGAGGTGAGTTGAGCTAGTGAATTTGTTGCAAGGAATAATTCCGAGCCGCAACGCCACGTTTCAAGCACAGCCACAGGCCCCAGCCACACCGTACGTCATCTTCCGCTTGTACGCGACTTCCGCATATCCAATACCCTGGCCGCGTATGCTACTCGGGTCTACTACGTCGCCTGCATTGCTTCTTCCCCAGAAGCCCTACTCTGCTATCAATTCCCCTTCAACCGCGTCTTCTACAACCCTCGCAGCCCGCGCTGCGCCAACTACCGTGTAAGCTTCACCACATAGACTGCATCGAGCTTGCGCCAGCACCACCAAACATGGTGCTTCGAAAGTCCAATGACCCCGACGACGTCGTGCCAGCGCCGCTCTCCAAAGCGATACCCCCGTACCCCACAACACCTTCCGACGAGCATCCGCCTGCGTTTCCCGTATCTCCAGACCGTGCCGCCGACCCACCCGGTACAAGCAAGTCGCCAGCCTTCAACATCAAGACGCCAGAAGAGACCCGTCTGCCTGACGACAAACACAACAGCGACTCCGACTTTAGCGAAGACGAGTGGAACCAGTCCGACGACGACTTTGAAGATGTCAACCACAACGACGTGCCTGCCGCGTTGAAGCCGGCTGCAGGCAAGAGGCCTCCCGTCCCCTCGACCGCACACATCAGCGGCGACCTTCCAGATGCCTTGAAGCCAGGGCCACCAGCCGGAATACCCATCAAGCGCTCGCAGGAGAACATTTCACCCATGCCCACCGGTGCCAGTGCGGCCTCATACAATGGTAGCACCGTGTCCGAGCAATCAAACGGATCCATCCCGCTGAAGACGAACAACCCATATCTGAAGATGCAGACAACTGGGCAAAGCGGGTGGGGCGATGAGAGCAGCGACGCCATCTGGGGTGATGCGCCGAGCCAGGCACACAAGTATGAGGCACCTGTAGAGCTGCCGGCGTTCCAAACGCCAAGTACACCTTCCCATGAAATGAAGAACCTAGGACTAGATGATCATCCTCCGTCTGCTCAGTCGAAGCCTGTAGAAGAGCCGCCCGTGATTGCGGTGAACTCGCCCACGCCTCGTTCGGAACATCCAGAGGCGTCTTTCGATACAAATCCATGGGAGCCCATCTCGCACGATGGTCGTGCTGAGACTGTAGCATGGACAGCGCCGCCGCCTCCAGCAGGTTTCTCGGATACAAGTTCGTACACTGCGCCAGGTCCAACAGGTGATGCAGCCGTTCATCCTACGAGCTCGCACACTGCGCCAGCGCCCATCGTTCCTGAGAATACGCATGTCATAGATTCCACACCTCCTCCACCACACTACACGCCGGACGAGACGCGAACCACCCTGGAAGAACCTCCGCCAGCTCTGCCACCACGTAGATCACATGAAGATATGACGCCTGCCATGCCACCCAGGCCCATTGATACAAGTGCGAGCTCTACAGCTGCGCCAGGCCCAGAGTCGCCAAACACTCGGATGGAGAGGCAGCGGAAAGAACACTACCAAATCAAGCACATCCGTTGGCTCGACAACAATACCGAGGACATGCGTGTTTCGCCCATTCTGACGCAGAACCTCAACGGTCCATGTCCTTTGCTTGCTCTCGTCAATGCGCTGGTCCTCTCTACCCCCGCCAGACTCGACACCGCTCTCGTCGAAACACTCCGCACACGCGAGACGGTCAGCTTAGGATTACTTCTCGATGCCGTCTTTGACGAGCTCATGTCTGGCCGACGAGGTGACGCTGCGCAAGCCTTGCCCGACGTGAGCGAGCTATACAAGTTCCTCCTCGCTCTCCACACCGGTCTCAACGTCAACCCTATGTTCGTCCCGGACTCGAACATCCCGAGTGACAACCACGCCACGCTCACGAATCGAGCTGGCGCATTCGAAAACACACAGGACATGAAACTATACCGCACCTTCAACATACCTTTGATGCATGGATGGCTACCAGAAGCTGGGAGTGACGCTTACGCTGCATTCAACCGCGTTGCACCCAGTTATGAGACTAGCCAGTTTGTGCAGTTCCAGGAGGAGGAGTTGAATGCGAAGTTGGGTGCTGGTGAGAGTCTGAATGAGGATGAGCAGCAGATGTTCACGGATATTCATGCTATCAAGGAGTTTTTGATGAGGTGGCCGACGCAGCTGACGGACCATGGTTTGAGAGTCATCCGTGACAATCTTCAGCCAGGCCAAGTCGCTATCTTGTTCCGAAATGACCATTTCTCCACACTGTGTAAGAATCCGCGGAACGGCGAGCTGGTTACCCTGGTTACGGATCAGGGGTACTCGACACATGATGAGATTGTGTGGGAGAGTCTGACGGATGTGAACGGTCAGGGCAGTCAGCTCTTCTCTGGAGACTTCCGGAGCGTGGATAACAGTACGGGCAACACCGGAGCAGTAGCTCAGGAACAGCAGCCGCACGACTACGACAATGGACAAGGCTGGACTACCGTACAAGGACGTCGCGGCAACAACCAACAATCCAGCGTCCCACAAGACCCCGACGCCACATCTCCGGAAGCTCTCACCAGAGCAGAGCAAGAAGACCATGATCTCGCCCTCGCACTCCAACTGCAGGAAGAAGAAGAAGATCGCCAACGACGCGAAACGGAACAAAGGAACCGCGACAATGCGCCTCCACAGCCACCTCGAAATCAAGGAAATCCAGTTATACCTCCACGCCGAAACAACAACATTACAGGACACAGACCTGCAGGCGAACCTGCTCCTCCGCCCTTGTACGAAGAAGCTGTTCAAACTCCCCAGTACAATCCGCCAGCGGGACATCCAGCCAATCCTGCTGCACCGGTACCGGGACAGGGGGGTAGTGCGTACCAGTCGACTACTGGTGGTCCACCGCCCGGTAGTGGTGGCCGGCATCATTCTAGTTACATGCCTGCTGGAGGTCGGATGGGTGGGAGAGGAGGTGGTGGTAGGAGACACTCGCAGGGACAGCAGGGTCAGGGGCAACAGCAGGGCGAGGATAGGGATAAGTGCGTTGTTATGTAGAATTCGACGGCGCTTTCACTCGAGTTGTGGCGGGCGATTGGAAAGTGTGGGGGGTGGG